TAAATTACAGAACGGCTAGACGTAGTAAAACAGAGGTTTACTACCCTTTGCTAATGACGCATAGCAGTGGAGGGAGAGCCAAGGTTAGATTCCAGGTAAGCACACACTTGCACATACACATACACACACACACACACACGCACCTATATACACACACTTATGCACATACATGTACATACATACTGTACATGTTTCTTATCCTCCTTTCTCATCAACTGAGGGATGTAGGAAACAAAAATACTAACCACATTAAAGACATTCTTAAATGCAAATGAGTTCTGTGTAAACTTTTTCATAAAAATATTTTGGGAAACTGTGTGAGTCATTTCTGATCTATGTATAAATGCAGGCATTCTGGAGCTCTGCAAAGACCACGTCACCAATATGATAATAATGTCTCTCCGTAGTGGTAATATTAAGAGCCCTGGGCTGGCTCAGGGAATTTTCTGCTCTAGCATTCACGAAGGACCCTGGAGTTTTGGAGATTTTCCATTAACGTCTGGTATTGACTTTTGGTTGCCAACTCTGACTGTTTGTTTTCCCAGAACTCTGTAGGGGACCTACGCAGTTGACAAAACGCAGGCAGGAGTGACCGTTTGAGTGTGTGCCTGTGTGTATGTTCACACATGTTAATTAAATGACATAGTTTTTCTCCTTGTTGAAGTGGGAAGGAGGAAGAAAGAGGACATTGTCAGTTGTGGAAAGGAGAGCCAGAAAAAGCCTTAAAGTGAAACTTCTCCTTGCTACTGCTTAATAAAAATAATGAGCTATACTGATTAGAAAAAATTGGGGTAGCCGGCTCATATTCTCCGAGCAAACCTTGACAGTGGGTTAAGCCTGTTAGTGTCTTATCCACAGCCTACCTATCTACCGGGCTACTGGAGATTAAGCTTCTCGTCATCAAATCCTGGGCCTCCCTGATCTTTCTCTCTCTCTGTTAAAGTTTACTAACTTATTTCTTCCATGAATGACAGGACACAGCACTCCCAGCAGCATCCTCATGCCGCGATCCACCCCGGCCTCAGGCCGTCTCAGATCAGAGGCATGCCTGTGTCTCATGTGCTTAGGGAGTCTGGATACTAACCCAGGACCTTTTCATGATGGTCAGCCTCACAGAACATCGCATTACCACTGTGTCACTAGCCAGCTCCTCCTCTTTTATTTCCACCGAGAAGGAAAAAGGAAGGCCAGAAGCCTCTCCTGAATAAAGTGCCACACCCCCCTTCAGGGTCAGGCGCTTCTACCCGGCAGCTTTAAGCACCCTGTGTCATTAAGTGCATCCCAGCTGTGACCAGGAGCTCAGAGTACACATCTTCTGCCCAAACCACCACCTAGGGCAGACTCTCCTGCTTACTCACAGCTGCTGCCAGCTTTCTCTCCTTGTGGGCAGATGACCGAAGGACGGCAAAAGAAAAGGAAGTAAAACAGGAATAGGAGAGGGAGGAGGAGTTAGAGGGAAAAGAATATGGGATGGTAGCAGAAGAGGAGGGGCAAGGAGAGAGAAGGAAGACAGGAGAAAGAAGAGGAAAGGAAGGGGAAGAGGGACAGGAGGAGAGGAGAAATGGGGGAATAGAGACGAGTGGGAGGAGGAGATAAAGGAGGGACAGGAGAAGGAGCATGGAAGAGCAGAATGGAGGAGCAGTAGGAGGAGCAAGAGGAGAAGCAGAAGGAGGAGCAGGAACAGGAGCAGGAGGAGCAGGAGCAGCAAGAGGAGCAAGAGGAGGAGGAGAGGAGCAGGAACAGGAGGAGGAGGAGCAGGAGGAGCAGGAGGAGGAGAAGCAGGAGGAGCAGGAGCAGCAGGAGGAGGAGGAGCAGCAGGAGGAGGAGCACCAGGAGGAGCAGGAGGAGGAGGAGGAGCAGGAGGAACAGGACAAAGAACAGGAGCAGCAGGAGGAAGAGGAGTAGCAAGAGGAGGAGGAGGAACAGGAGGAGCAGGAGGAACAGGAGGAGCAGGAGGAACTGGAAGAGGAGGATCAGGAGGAGCAGGAAGAGGAGGATCAGGAGGAGCAGGAGGAGGAGGAGGAGGAGAAGCAGGAGGAGCAGGAGCAGCAGGAGGAGCAAGAGGAGGAGGAGACGCAGGAGGAGCAGGAGGAACAGGAGGAGGAGAAGCAGGAGGAGGAGAAGCAGGAAGAGAAAGAGGAGGAGGAAGAGCAGGAGGAACAGGACAAAGAGCAGGAGCAGCAGGAGGAAGAGGAGAAGCAAGAGGAGGAGGAGGAGCAGGAGGAACAGGAAGAGGAGGAATAAGAGAAGGATCAGGAGGAGGAGCAGGAGGAGGGACAGGAGGAAGAGGGCTAGGAGGAGGAATGGGAGGAGCAGGGCTGGGAGGAGGAGGAGGGACAGGTGGAGGAGAAGGAGGTATGTGAGGCAGAAACAAGGCAATCTCTTTCAGCAGAGGAAAAGTAGGTCAGAATTCTTTCTCATGGGGCCCTCCCTCGTCCCCAGCCACCACTGGTCTGTACTGTGGGTGACGTGACACTTGCAGTTGCAGTTATTAGAAAACCTGACTCTGCAGACCTGGCTTTGGAAGTTGGAAAGGATATATGGGCTCCCAGGGCTGAAAGGCCTAGAGCAAGATGGGCTGGATCCATTTCTAGCTTTTGCTCTGCAGTTTTCTAGAAGCCCTCCCCAAGTGTGGGCGTCACCCTCAAGCCTATTTCCCTACTTGTCTTCAGAAGGCTGCAAAAAGCAGTCCCCTTAAGGGCCTGGCTTCTCTTCACTGCCAAGCAGGAGTCCCAGGTTTGCTCTGACTGGGCCACCCTGAGCCAGTGCTGTGGCCAGGAGGAGTCCTCGTGCCATAAGCTTTGTCCTGGGTGTGCCTGTGCCTTGGTCCCTGGAAGGAAGGGTGGGCTGACCTGCTTGGCCCAGAGCAGCAGGTCATCCTGCAGTCAGAGGTAGAGGCAGCCCACCTAAGCCTCATGGCCGCTCCTCACTGGGGGAGATGTGGTTAGTCCTTCCGAGCTCTGAGAGTCTTCGCGGACGTATCAGTGCAGATGTGTCCTATCAGCCGGCTGACTCACTGGACGGCTTCGACCTGAATGCTCACACTGTAGATAGGTTAAACATGTCAGCAAATCCACTACAGGAAACTCGCCTTGAACTCGAGACCTTTCTGTTATTCTTCAAGTCAAAATCCTTGTCCGTGGCTAAATTGGAACGTTTGCTTTTTCAATTAAAGCTCGTTAATCTACCATCTAATCACAGCTGCTTGGTAATGACCCTGACTGAGAAGGCGTTCCGGGGCACTCCCTGGAGAAGATGCCTGGAAGTAAGAGACAATGGCAGCGAGGAACTTGCCCTGTGCCTGAGCGCCCTGGTTCTAAATCACTCACGCCGGCCCCAGGCTGGGCTCTACCCCTTCCTGACAAGGCATCTTGGAGAAGATAATCGATTTCTTATATGTAAAGTGGGTTTAAAGAACTTAAATGTCTGAGAAGAATGCCTAGCACAAGCAAGTGCCCTTTTGCCATCTCTGTTCTCATTACGGAGAAGCCTGGGCTCAGAGTAGGGAGAATCACCCGGGATGCACAGGGGGTGTGCTTGAGTGAGCAGTGCAAAGGCAGGAAGGACAGGAGGGGACGAAGAGGATGTTCTGGGTAGGCCTCCTCCGACAGGATAAGGAGGGAGAGAGAGAGAGGCAGAAGAGGGGAATAGTGCAGAGCAAAGGCGTGGGGACCAACAGATGGCATAATGGTTACATTGTTGGACTCCCATGTAGTCGACCACAGTTTGAGTCCCAGATTCGGAGACTTAAATGCACGCTAGGCACATATGCGGGTATGACCAAGTCCCTGAGAGGAGAAAGGAGAAAGGATTGTGGTGTGACCATACCCTCTAGGGGTGATTTCTCACTTTCTGTCTCTCTCTCTCTCTCTGTCTCTCTGGTGAGAACACTTGCCCTATAGCAAAAAATCTCTCTTAGAAAAAGAGAGAGAGAGAGAGAGAGAGAGAGAGCAAAGGCGTGAATGGTACCTTCTAGTCAGCAGTGGCCCATCCAGATTAGCACAAAGGCTTCTCGAACAGGGTAGTGGGAGCCATGCTGGAAAGGTGGGCCGAGGCCTCGACTGCCGGAACAGGAGGTTTGGCTGTCCTCCTCCCATGCTCCACTCTGTGTTCCAATGACAGTGTTCCTTGGAGTGCAGGGCCCAGGAACTGACCGTGGGAACCTGGCAGCACAGTCTCCTGGTGGAGAGGGCTGGTGCCATGCAAGCCCTCTCCCATCTCTCTGAGTCCTTCTCACCCTGCATGTTGGTCCCAGAGCATCATCCTGAACAGAGGGCGATCAAAGCTGAGGGTCACCTCATTTCGGAGCATGGAGAAGGGGCTTTCCAGGGTTCTCAGGGAACACAGGAGGGTGGTGGGCTCCGACCAGGAGAGGCCCTAGGTTTGGAACAAGAGCAGAATTAAATTCAGGGTCCTGCAACCTCCCTGGGGACTCACCTCAATGGAGATTGTTCTAATGAGGACTGGGGCCCAGCTGCTATGGTGTAGCAGTGACACAGCACCCCACAAAGCTGGAAGCCATATGGTGACCATGGGTTTGGACCCTCTGGTTGGCTTGAAATCATGCAGAGCGGGTACCCAGGATCCTGAGTAGCTGGAGGGCTTGGGAAAGAGGGTCATGGCATGAAGAGACCTTCTAAGCATCTCTCTCTCTCTTTGTCATATGTTCTATGTTCTTTCTACAGGATAAAGAAAAGACAAAGACAAAGAAAAACAAAAGGATGATTGAGAGGTAGGCAGAGAGAGGAGGGGCATGAGACCCCAGTCCTGGCTCTGACTTGTACGGATGCAGATGCTGGGAACACTGTCCCTGCCTGGACATTAGCTGGCCAGCCTGGTCCAGGTTTCACACGAGGTCATGTGAGAGGAGAGGCAGTTTGTGAGACAGAAGAGGGTAATATGCAGTGAGGGAGACTGGTGTTTCGTAAGGGCTTGGCACGTTTACCGAACGATTCTGGCGGTCTGCCCGGCTCTGAGTTTCCTGTTCCTAGTTCCCCAGATGTGTCACTGCCAGGGATTAAAGCCCTCAGAGGCTCTGACACAGCATCCCTAAGAGCCCACTTTCTCTCGCCCTCGAGCCTCCTCCTCTAAGGAGATGGGAGCTTTCACTCTCGAGCGGCAAGGACTGATCAAAGCTCTTCTGGAAACAGAGTAAAGTATTAGCCGCTCTCCCCAGGGCTGACTTCAAAATGCACTTTTGTTTTTGATGACCAACTTCGACTCGGCAGGCTTCATCTGGGGGAAGAAATCCTGCTGATTGCCCTGGTTACCACCTCCGGGGAGGCCGGCCTTCCCAGTGCCCGGTGAGGAAGAAGGCAGATGGTGAGATGATTCATTCTACTTGGGGGTTTTGTTTCTCTATATTTTCCTCCCCAAGTGCCTGTTTTTGAGCCTATACATTGATAAGACATTTAGGAGGGAGAAATGGAACCTGATCAATGATAATGTTAGTTTGTTGTTGAAACAAGACTTTAAGGATTTCTTGGAGTCCTGTGACTTCGTAGCGTGTTTAGCCTTACGGTGTACTCATGGACCATTTAATGAGATCACCTGTGACTGCCTACGTTTTAGTCTATGGAAGATTAGCCAACATATATCCAGAACTGTATTCTAAAACTGTATGCATACTGCCTATATGCCAGAAATCATTTTCCAGCTCTGATAAGCAATGAAGTTTGTTAAGTAAATGACATTCGTAATGCTGTCGCTGAAGTGGGAGTGAGGAATTGTGTGGTCACTGTCCACTAGGCAGCTACAGTTTTGGAGGGGTATAAATCTCACCTAATGTTGACCCAAAGCATTGCATTATTACGAGCAGTGTGGGAGGAGGGCGAGAAACGGCAGGTGGGAACAAAGGAATCAAGGGGGGGAAAAGATGTAAAATACATAAGAAACACAATAAATAAATAAATAAAACAAGCATCCCTTGGCTGCACTTAAAATTATAATGACTTTTATGGGACAGACTGTACATGCTTTTTAAAATAGGGATTAAAATGTAATCTTAAAAGAAAAAAAAAAACTTTTTAAGAGAACGCTTCATAAATATTATGCCTGCAGCCGTAGTGAAGACCACAGAGGGGGTTATAAACATTGGCCTGTGGTTTTTATTGGACACTTCAACCTTCATCATTTCTATCAACCATATTGTTGTGGGGACAAATAAGAAAATGGGCCAGAATCTGAAACAATAAGGAAAAGAAATAACGTTTTAAAAGGGAGAACAAAATAAGGTTTACCATTGAATTGAACTCAATGTGGAAACTCTCACTGCTCTTATACAAAATGCTGTTGGCGCCGTGTGAGGGTGTGAAGGGCTGGGTGCTGGGTGTGCAGACAGTAGGCTGGCCCCATAGCTCAGCGGTGAAGCAATGTACGGACGGAGCTGGGTCTCAGGTGACTGACCGCAGTTCGAATCCTGGCTTAGCTGGCTTGAAAAACGTGTTGGACACATGTGTACCTGTCCAGGATCCTGATGGGATGGAGGGGTGGAGGGAAACTCGGATTGCAGTTGGCCAGCCTGGTCCAGTTGGGCTCGCTTTCTCTCTCTCTCATATACATACATGCTCCCTCCCATGGGGCGGGGGGAAAAGCAGCACTTAGTGACCAGTGGCTTTGTTGAGTCACGACGTTCATCCAAAAGCCGGCGGGAACAGAGTTGTGTGTGTTAGATGAGGGAATTGTGTTCACTGCAAACATACTGATTATTGGGTCAAGGAAGTCGAGCTTGTCCAGCAAGAGTTGGAAATATTTCTTTCTTTAAGATTGTTTTGCTGTAGAGTATGTACGCTCACTGGAGAGAGAGAGAGAGTCAGAGGCAGAGAAAAGGAAAGCGAGAAATCATCCCCCAGGAAGATGACCATGCTGCGATCCCTTCTCCTCCATTCTCCTCTCAGAATTTCAGGCTTGCATGCACACATGCCTGGTGTGTGTTTCAAGCCAGCAGGTCTGGGACGCAAACAACAGTTGACCATGTGGGAGTCCAGTGCCTTAACTACCAACCACCTGCTGGCCCATGAGTACGTCTTAAGATGAGTTTGATTCTCCTACTAGTGATGATACATTCAAAAAGATTCTTATGGTCATTCTCAATGCAACATTCAGTTGTTAACCCTTGAAGCCACAAGTGCTATTGGGTATGAGCCTGAGAGGTTTCTTATGAGATAAACTTAACGAGCATAGTCACGGTATGGTACAGTTACATTTGTAGAATACATCCTTTAAGATTTACACAGGCTTATTGTGAAAAATAAAATTCAAAAGAAGGAATACATGTAGAAAATTTAAATATATGAAAAAGAAAAGTTTATCACTATGAGATAAATGGTATTAATGTTTTGGTAGGTATCTTCTATGAATATATTCACATTTTACAGAAGCGTAGCTGTACTCTACATGTTCGTTTGCTTGTTTGTTTCGTTACCTGATTTTACCTCAGCAATATAATGTATGCATCTTCCCATAGTGATGACCTTCCTCTTACAAATTCTTTCTTTGTTAAATTTCATAGATCATTTATTATACCCTGGTGGCAGATACTTGATTGCTTCTTTTTCTGTTATTAACAGTATTAAAATTAGCATTTTTGCAGCTAAACCTTTGTATCTTTTTCTTTCTTTCTTTCTTTCTTTCTTTCTTCTTTCTTCTTTCTTTCTTTCTTTCTTTCTTTCTTCTTTCTTCTTTCTTTCTTTCTTTCTTTCTTTCCTTCTTTCTTTCTTTTTTTTCTTTTGTGAGATTTTTGCTATAGGGTGCCTGCGCTTGCCATAAAGACTGAGAGGGACAGAAAGCAAGAAATCAATCCCCCCCCCCAGGGCGATGACCACTCCGCAATCCCTTCTCCTCCATTCTCCTCTCGGGATCTTGGGCATGCAAGCACACACACGCACCCAGTGTGAGTTTAAGCCACTGGGTCCAGGACTCAAACTGCAGTCAACTACATGGGAGTCCAACAACATAGCCATTACACCAACTGTTGGTCCCAAACCTTTGCATTTCTTCATGAGTATTTCTTTGGGGTAAATTCCTGGAGATGGCATTGTGGGGTTGGGGCCAGCAGATGGCAAAGTGGTTACATCGCTAGACTCCTCCTACATGGCTGACCACAGTTTGAGTCCTGGACCCAGTGGTTTGAAACTCATGCCAGGTGTGTGTGTACATGTCTGAGATCACAGGAGGAGATGGAGGAGAAGAGGGTGTGGTGTGGCCCTTCCCCTGGGAGATGATTTCTCACTTTCCCTCTCTCTGTCTCTGTCTCTCTGGCAAGTGCACACACCCTAAGGCAAAAAACCTCTTTTTTAAAAAAAAATTTTTTTGGCGTTAAGAAGCATGAGGTTTTGCAAACTCCTTAATCCCTGATTGGTGCTAAATTAATCTTTGGAAGGTGTGATTCACCTACACGTCCACCAGTACCATATTAATGCCACTTGTCCACACTCATCAGCGCTGGGTCTTACCGTCCCTTTTAGAAAGTGTGCTAATCCGACAGCTGGCAAAGAAGATACTTGTTTTTCTGATTTAACTTAAGGAAATGCTTTGTAAAACCTCCTGACTTCCTATTTAGTCCCCTTTGGATTCAGCCTATTTATTTATTTTTTGTTACTCATTACCAAAGCAGTCACCTCCTACAGTAACTTCTGCCAACCTACTTTCTGAGGGCGTTGACCTTGTCTGATGTCTCTCAGAAAGTCTACTGGGAGTCTGGAGGAAATCAGATGCTTTTGCTCCTGCATTTTACCTGTCGGACAACCTGGGTTAGCTCCTTTTTAGCTATAAAATTTAGGGAGAAAGTGTAGCCTATCCACCCAACAGGATTGCATTGGGAATACCAAGAGAACAGATTGAGGAAAGTATATTTTATTTTATTTTATTTTATTTTATTTGTTTCCTCCACAAGCAAGAGAGACAGGAAGAAAGAGAAGGGGGGAGAGAGAGAGAGACCGCATCCCGACAGGGCCTAGACACCACAATCTACTCCCAGCTTCCACCAGCCCCGGATCATGGACACAGTGTATTCAGGGGAGAGCTTTGGACTTAATCTGGTAATCTTCCCACGGGATTGCCCTGCAAGCATCACATTTTCCTGCTGTGCTATCATCCACACTGAGGGGAAAATTTTTTAAATAGAAAAAAAGTTAAATGTGCAAAATGATATTAGTGTTAGTGTTGTTACCGTACAGTTTATGCATCATCTCACCTAACATCTATGGTTTCTGTAGCCCTGCGAGCTAAAATGTTGTCAATGTCTTCTAATTCCTAAGTGAGAAAGAGCGTGTGTGTGTGCGTGCACGTGCAGAAGCGTTTTTCTTGGTTCTTGCAATTTGCAGCAGTGCTTGGTGTGTTTCAGCAGCACGTGGCTGTGTTGTAGATGAAAGGGTTTGTGTTTGCTGGTGAGCCTCCCTCTGTGTCCAGGACTGTGTGGCGTTGTAGATGAAAGGGTTTGTGTTTGCTGGTGAGCCTCCCTCTGTGTCCAGGACTGTGTGGCGTTGTAGATGAAAGGGTTTGTGTTTGCTGGTGAGCCTCCCTCTGTGTCCAGGACTGTGTGGCGTTGTAGATGAAAGGGTTTGTGTTTGCTGGTGAGCCTCCCTCTGTGTCCAGGACTGTGTGGCGTTGTAGATGAAAGGGTTTGTGTTTGCTGGTGAGCCCCCCTCTGTGTCCAGGACTGTGTGGCGTCCTTCTCGCACGGTGCTGTCGTCATCCGTGTGCTTTGCTCTGACCCCCAGTGCACGAATGGGTTCTCTGACAGGAGCTGGTTCCATGAGTTTCTTTCGCAGGGCCCTGGTTGGGGTCTGGCACCCAGCACTGATCAATAAATGTCCTTGAGTGAGTCAGCATAAAGGAGGATGGAATCATATTTACCCAACTCTGCAGAGAAAGGAATATTCCAGAAAAGAAACCTAAGAAGACTTGGAGAAAATCAATCCTAATGGGACTTTTTAAGGGCAAATGTATCATTTTGTTTAGTTTATGCGGATTTCAGTTTCTGTGGAGGAAATCTTTAAAGTTCTTAATGGATATTAAGCAAACCAAGCATATAACCAGGACATGGAGACCACGGTCCTTGCAAGTCTCAGGGACTTGGGAAGAATAGGAAAAGATTTAAGGGATGGATACAGGTTTTCACTTTGATCTACAGCTCAGTGCTGGGCTGTAAAAATAAGGACTAAACTGACATTTAATGATGGGTTGAACTTGGTATCGAATGATAATAACAGCTAACACTAAATAGAGCATTTGCTATGTGGATCTGGTTCTAAGTACTTCACATGTAAAGGAATCATTATCTTATTTTGCAGATTAGGAAACCCAGGCACAGAGAAATGATT